CTCCGAAGCCCTTGCTACCCTTCGGTATCGAGTCGTGCCAGGCAGTGTGATCGATTCTTTTTGTCACAGTCTGTAGAGATCCAGCACACAGTGCCGAAGGCCATGCTCCTAGGCCGTGCGCCGGAGCCCTTGAGCCAATATGCGCCACGCGAGAGCGCGGGTGCAGATGACGGCGGCAGTAGTAGTAACACACATGTTCAGGAGGGGAAACACACACACACAGACACAACTAATCGTCGATCCCCAGGAAACTATGGGAAGATATGGGAAGTGGGGGGGGGGGGGGGAACACGAAAATCCCAAAGTACTGTCGGAAAACATGGGGAATCCTGTTAGTTGTGTGTATTTATTTGCGTGTCCCAGGGCCCCTTCACAGGTGTTTGTCAGACGCCCCCCGCCAATCTGCCTGGCGGCGACCCCCGCCGCTGGGAAGTCCATGTTCCCGCAGAGGGGCCGACGCCCTGCCCCCCAAGGGCCCTGCCAGCGCCAGGCGCGCCATCGGCAACAGAGACGCAGGGCTGCACGGGGGCCCTGCGCTGCTCGCCTGCGCTCTGCCGCTGGGCTTCAGAGGCCGAGGCCGTCCTGCGGGCGAGCCTACGTGACATCGGCAAGAGGGGAAGGCAGCAGGCGGCCGCAGCCGCAGAGTCGAACATCACCCCCTTGAACGGGCGTGCTCCATCGTAGCTGCGAGACGGCCCCTCCAACGGTGCAGTGCTCAGGATGATACAGTCCGTGCGCAGTGTTGGTGTCATGCAGCCGCTAACCCACGTCGTGCACCTTGCCGCACCGAACGTTACGACTTGCGCACCTTCGCGGGAAAGAACACTGAATCGGGTCACCATGGTTTGCGGGAGAGTCTCTGTACATTTCCCTCCGTTTCGGGCAAAATTGTATTGATCGTCGCTCCTCCTCGCGTGGTGGTGTTTGGGCTCCCCGAAAACGCCAAGCTGCCGCTGGACGCTCTGGCGCCCGGCCTCGACGTTGCTGGAGCTTCAGCTGTTGTTGCCCTGCATCGCCTCGCGCCTGAGAGCGCGACCCCCTGCCTACGTCTCGGGCTCCCGAGAGCGCGCCCGGGCTCTGTATCGCCTCGCCTGAGAGCGCGCCCGGGCTCCTGAGAAGTTTCCGGAGCTTTCCCCGAAGACGGAAGCAATTTCATAGAAGGCGCGAGGGCTTCTGAGAAGGCCCCTTCGTTTCTGAGAAGGCCTTCTCCTTCTCATTTCCCCAACTCGCTCGCCGCCAATAGGCAGTCGGTGGAGCTGCCGCGTGAGGGGCGTCCCGCCATCTGCGTGGGGCGCGCGCGCGGGCGCGCCCACTGAGGTCGAAGGTGGAATCCCCGACGGGGCCATGCAGCGCGCGAGGGGCGTGCCGAAACGAGCGTGGGCCCGCGTGCGCGGACGCGGCCGCTGAGACCGTAGGTGGCTCCGTTTTGACCATGAAGCGCCGGAAGGGTGCGGCACAACGCGCGCGCGCGCCTGACGGGGCGCCGGGTGGGCGCGCGCGCGGGGCGCGCGCTCGCTGTCCTCGCCTTCCAGGTATCCAGGGAGGAACAAACACCCGGACCGGACAATTGGCGTTTACTCCACGGCCTTGGGCGTGTTTATTGAACAGCCCTGCCCTGTTTGACTCCCTCTTTGGGTGCTTTTGCGAGACGGCTTCGCGCGTGGAGGTGGTTGTTCTCGGGGTGGATTTTCTGCCCTCTAAGTTCAGGGCCGGACCTAAAGGTGTTTTTGGTGGTTTCGTGGGCCAGTTTCGTTTCGACCTCGTTTTGCGGTAAAGGCGGATTCGAGACAAAAGCGAGGGAAAACGAAAACAAAACGAGAACGAATAACACCGTGTAGGTTCAGCCCTGTCTAAGTTATCTCCCCCATCCCCGTCGTTTCTTGGTGCGGGCCCTGCCCCGCTTGATTCCTCCTTTGGGTGCGTTGACTAGACGGCTTCGCGTGTGGGGTGGTTATATTATCGGGGTGGATGTTCTGCCATCTACTGAGTTATCTTCCCCATCCTTGTCGTTTCTTGGTGTGGGTGGTCTGTCGCTTTCCACTCGGGCGCTGGGCGGAGGATCCCCCCCTCGCTTTTGCGGCGGGCCGGGGGCCTTCGGCCGGCACGCCTGGCTGCGGTGGGCAATGAACTCAGAGCAGGTTTGGTGCTGGAGCTGGGCAAGTCAGGCCTGTCCCTCAACAGGAGGAAGATTCTAAGATAGGAAAAAATAGTCTGGGAACGATTTTATGACAATTTTGAGCGTCTTTTAAATACGTTTTGAGTATTTTTGTTCGTCCAAAATCCCCCTGTAGGGGGACAGGCCCGACCTAAGGGTAGTATCACGAGGCTGAAGAGGCTCATAAGGCGGAAGCGGACGAGGAGGAGGCGGAGGAGGAAAATAGCTTCCGAAGGCGGAGGATGGAGGATAGAGGATGGAGGACGGAGGAGGGGGGCGACGATGGAATCTGCCCTCGATGTGTCACTGGTTCCCCTTCACCCTCTCCCCCGCCCCCCACGCCTTTCCGCTCGAGTCCAGGACGCCTTGCGCGGACCCCCGACGGTTGATGATAATATATTGTTTGGGTCTTGTATTCGTTGGGGGGGAGTGCCGATGAGCTCTGGAGGACTGTCGCAGGATCTGCGGGCCCATGAAGCTGAATTTGCCTCCGTGACCAGATCTGTGGGCCTCGGGGACTTGTGGGGGGTAGTTCCATCGTCGCGGCAGATCATGGGATCCATTGCAGAGCGCACCTCTTTTCCGAAGCGCTTTCATAGAGCAGCCTTCCCACGCGAAACAAGTTCCAAACGCAGAGTTCTTCAATGTCAGTGTGGTGGAGATCGCGCGCCCAGTAAAATTTGCTCTGGCCGACGACCGCTTACGAGGACTCAGCGGGTGGTGTACTTGATAAAATATGGTTGCACAGGCCCGCATTCAACAGGCGCCGTTGCTCTTGATACAGTTTTGTGCGTTTTTTTTTTGTGTGTGTGTGTCTCTGGGCCTCCATGGAGGCCTCGTAGGCAGTCTCGGGGGCCTCATTGGTGGTCTCAAGAACATTATTTGGTGCGGGCGGGTCAGCGAATATACAGCGGGGCGGGCACGGACCTGTCGCCCCTCAGCCATCCCATCATGAAGGCGCTTGGGACGCGGCAAACATTGTGTGTCGTCTTTGGTGTTTTTGCGCACTACCCTGTAAGGATGTCCTGGCGCCGTGTGGCCTGCAGAGAAGTGGAACCTGCGAAGGGGTCGGAGAGAGGGGTAAGGCAGGTGAGTTCGTGCTCTGGCGTCCTGTGGGAGAGGGACCGGGGACCCAGCTCGGGGCAACCCTGGCCGGAGGGTTGCTGGGACCAATCAGCGAGCGTACGACAACGAGGCCATGTGACCAGGGATGATCAAACTCTTATTGCCCCGTACAGCCGCCTTGCACTGCAACCCGCTCGCGAAGCTTTCGCGGCCAGGTCGGGATCGACTCCGACGAGGCCGTTTGGGGCTCGAGGTGGCTACTTGGGCGGGGGGCGCGTGGCGCCTGGCGCTCTACGTGGGGCGGCTGGCTCACCCCGCTGTTGTGAGGTGGAGGGCCGACGAGCTTGGCATGGCTCGGACGTGTGCATTTTTCCTTCGGCGGGGACCATCGAGGAGCATCCTTGATCATTTGGCGAAAAAACCACGCACGAAACCAAAGAAAGCAAAGGGAATGGACGTCCGAGCGATGGCGAGCGAGGGACTCAAGGCCGAACGTGAAGGTGGTCTCCTCCTCCTCCCCCTCCACTCGCGTCAACACGGGAGGCGCGCGGCGGGATACCCCTCCGACGGCGGGGCAGGCCGCCGGATTCGGGGGGACCGTTCTGTGGAGCCCAGGGGTTCCGGGCGGGAGCACCCGTGGCGATGCTCTCTCACCTCCTCCCGTTTGTTCCGCTGCTTCCTCTTTCCAGACGAATGTCGCGAGAGGAAAGCAATGTTGTGGCGAATGTGCGCCCTTCTTTCCCGGAGGATTTTGCAGGCCCGAAAGGTCAGATGGTGAACATTTACTTCGAAAATTGCATCCTGCAGTTTTCGATCCTCCTTCTCGATGCTTCGATGCTGCGGGCTGACGAATCTCGTCAAGAAGACGCACCCCTTCGCCCCCGCCTGGCCAAGGGCGGGTGGCCAGCATCAGCCTGTTGCCTCCTCCTCCTCCTCCGCCTGCTCCTCCTGTGCCAATAACAAGCCTAGCCGCTAAGCCAGGCTCGTCCTTACGTAAGCCTTCTAGCCTGGCCAGCTGCCAGGGGGGCCCACCAACCGTAACCCCACTGAAGGAGGGGGAGGAGGGGGAGATAGAGGAAGGTCTCTGGCAGAAGTGTTTGGCCCCTGTTGCACCCTCGGAGACCTCCGCACAGTCTGCTGGGTACTGGCGCCCAAAGGGGAGCGCAATCGGAGCGTAGTCGGGGCGAAATCGGGGCTCGGGGGTCCCAAAGCCGCGTGGGGTCGGACCGCGCGGGGTGACCTCGGAATCCCCACAGACCTCACCGCACGCTCCGTCACCGCACGGTTCTGGCACCTCGGAGGGCTCCACTCGCCCGAGACGTCACGTCCTCGGAGAACGGCCCCCTGAGCCCCCAAACCGCGCGGTGATCCCGAATCTTGTCTGACTCGCCACACAGGAGTGCGCTTCTTGATCGTTTGGGCCATAATCGCCCCCGGCCCCCCCTCCCGCCCCCCCTATAACGTAACGCCCCTCCCCCTTAGTGCGCTCCGGGCACTGCCGCCGTGCGCACGGCGGGGGGGAGGCGTTACATTACGCCCCGCCCGCGGCCCCTCCCCCCGCCCATAGTGCCCACCATCGCCGAAAGTGAAGAAACGGCAGGGGGGGAGGCGTTATATGATGCCCCCCCCCCTGGCCCCTTCCCCCCCGCCTATGTAGTGCCCAGCATCGCCGAACATACGAAGGCGCGCTCCGCTGTGGCCACCGCACCCTCTGCGGGCCCCCGAGGGCCCTCGCGCTCCCCTCCAGCCGCCCGCCGCCCCGCCGCGCGGCCCCCCCCCCCCCCCCCCCCCGCGGGCACCGTGCCCGGGCGGCGCGCCGCAGCCTCGGGAGCCAATGGCCCCCTCCGCGGCCGAGGCGTCGCGGCTGAAGGACGAGGGCAACGCGTTCTTCAAGGCCCCTCTCGCCTCTAGGCCTCCCAGATGGGGTCCGAGCAGATGGGGTCGGAGGATCGCGCCGTATCGCCGATGCATCGGCGATGCGGCTCGATGTGGGGCCCGATTTGCTTCACGTCGACGTCGCCGATGCATCGCCGACGTCGCCGGTGCATCGCCGATGCATCGCCGATGCATCGCCGATGCTTCGTCGATGTATCGGCGATGCGGCGCGTTCTCTAAACCCCATCTATCCGGACCCCATCTGGGAGGCCTCCATCGCCGGGGAAGCGTGCAGTCGGGTCGCTGAAGAAGGAACCCTTTGCGTTGGGGAGGGGTTTCGTGTTCCTTATAATTGTTTCACAGCTTGCCGCAGGTTTTTTCGTGATGGCCTCGATGGGAAGTCGAAGTCTAACTTATGGAGCAAAGGGGCCTCGTTCCCTATTTCGGGTTCCTTAGGTCAACGCCCCGACTGTACGACTCGAGTAAGCCGGAACTCGGGTTTGCCGAAGCTTTTTGACCAGCGCGTCCTGGATTTTGACGGTCTGGTTGTCGCGGGATGTTTGCAGCGGGAGTTCGCGTCATTTTTCAGATTGGGTCTCGTCATTTTCATGATGGCCCCCGTCAGGCCAACCCGAGCCCCCCGTACCCGAGTCTTACGGCTCCCCGACCTTGGAATGAACGACTTGGTGTTCGGTGAGATGGTGGTTGTTGGTGTCTGCTTGCGCAGTTGGAAGCCACCCAAGAACAGACCTGAGGAGCACTATGTCGTTCATCTGCATGGTGGTTGGCCGGTTCCGCGGGCGGTCCACGCAGGAATTCCGCCCCGTTGACCACCCAGCGGGGTTACGACCATGGTGGTTTGGAAATGAGTCCGACTGTTTTTTCACACTGGCTCACAGCCACAGCGTGAACATGTGAAACCTCGCGATTGGCAGATGTTTGCACACACCGGCGATCGGCAACTCCTTGCGAAAACGTGAAGCAGAAGCGCTGCAGAGCGGTTGCGTGCACACAGAGATCAGACTGCAAATCAGGGACGGCCTGACCGACCCCTGGCAAACCACCCCCCTCCGTGGCACCCCCCTCGCCTCGCCCCTAAGACCTGAGCATGCGGCCGGAGGGGAGCTCGAGAGGCGAGGATGACGCCACGGAAGGGGATGGTCTGCCAGGCGTCGGCTCGGCCGCGCCCGAGCAGAGCGCCCGCTGGCAGAGCGCCCACCGACGCGCCCCGGCCACGAGGCCAGCAGCTCGGGACCCCGGGCGCGCCCCGCCCCCCGGGGGGCCCCGAGGGGCACCGCGTCCCTGGGCAGGCCGAGGGCGAGGCCCTGGCCGGGCCGCGAGCAGATCTGCTCGCCGCGCGAGGGGCTTTCGGCCACGCGCACAGGCGGGCGCGGGGGGGGGAGGGCTCCTCTCAGGATCGGGCCGAGCGAGAGGGGGAGTATAGGGAAAGGGGGGGGTCATTACGAAGTCTGCTGCGTGCAGGGTGGTTTCGGCCCCGCCGCCGGGCCCATTCCTCGATATACCTGGGTGCCCGGCCCGATAGAAGCACCCCTGCTTCTCAGAGGGCGCGGGCCGTATCTGCAGATGGAAGGCCGGCGCCTTCTGAGAAGCAGCCTCTCTCCAAGGAGCCCTCCCCCCTCCCGCCACCCCGCGTGCGCACCGCCGAGCGAGGGGCTCGCTGGCCCGGCCAGGGTCGGCGCGGTCGTGTCCGGGCGCCAGTGCCCCTCGGCGGGGCGCCCGCGCCGCCTGGTGGAGGCCGGAGAGTACCAGGCCGCCATCGACGCGTACACGGGCTCCCTCGAGCTCGACCCTTCGCAGCACCTGTGCTTTAGCAACCGGAGCGCGGCGTACCTGAAGCTCGGCTCCGCGGCCGAGCAGGCGCTGCAGGACGCGCGTCAGTGCGTGGAGTTGGCGCCCGCGTGGGCGAAGGGTTACTCGAGGCAGGCGGCGGCGCTTCAGGTGCTGAAGCGCTGGGACGAGGCGGAGAAGTGCTGCCAGGAAGGCGTGGCCGCCTGCACCTCGACAGACGGCGAGATCCTCAAGAAGATGCTCGCAGAGGTGAAGAGCCACCGCTTTCAGGACACGTTGAAGGGCACCTGGCACGGCACGGCGATCGGCTGACTGTAAACCGATGGATATCCCAGTGGGTCCAGGGTCATGGGGAAGTGCCTGCGGTGTCCGTAGTAGCGCTTGGCGGCAGTAAGGAGTACTGACTCCCCTCATCAGAACTGTTACCTTCCGGAGGATTGCCCTCGCCAAGAGAGGTTCCCTGTCGGCAGTGATTATTGTGCCCGCCCTGCTCGACTCTTTGAGAACAGCGAATGCTGAGAGATTTTGTCACGTTGACCTTGCCCGTCACCCTCGAATGTGTTGTCATGTTGTCCCCCGTGGTGCTGCCAGGAGCCATGTGGTATACATATATATATATATATACAGACGCTTGCGGCAATTCCGCCACCATGCCAGCGAAGCACTCCGTAGGGCGATCACTCGAGACGGCCCATAAGGCCGCCACATGTCACACCTCTTGTCCCTACTTCTTGAGACCCCTCATGGGCTTATTTGTACCGTCGCGGGACTGCCTCAGTCTCCTGTTGGGCAATATTTGGAGTGCTTTGAAACCGTTTTAGTGGTTTGTCTTGGGGGTCTCTTGCGGCCGTCGTGCAACCGTTGTTGGCCGTTCGGGGGCCCGCTCAGGCCGCTTGGGGCCCTGCTAGAGCATGAGCAGTTCGGAAAACAACACTTTGAATTGCGGTAGTCCAAATACTTCAAACACAGGTTCCGCCGTGCGCATCTTAGCCGTACGAGAGAGCGGATGCAACGCAAGACCGAACGCATCCGCCCGCGGCCGTTTTGGCTCAGGGCGTCGACGCCAGGATACGAATTCGTAGCCAGTTTCGTTACATAATATTTGTTAGTATTGCATTGAGGAACCTCATTTGCTTCAACATCGGCCTCAAGGCTTACCATCATCCGATGATTGTTGTTATTCCTGGTATCGGGGAGCTGGTTGCACACTTGTGTGGGTAGCTTTGTTGCTTGCAAATTTCGAAGGCACGACATGGATGGCCCATCTTGATTACCATGCGCCGACTTCCCTCTGGGGAACAGAGCTAGGAAACTGGCGTGTACAACCCAGCAACGGGCGAGCGCCCAGCAGCGAGCTGGAATCCAGCAGTGGGTCCACCAGTACAAGCACGCCGGCTTCCATTACTACCAGCACACTTACTTCGATCATTGGCAAATGCACCACGGTTTTACGACACTGAGTTTCTCGCAACGCGCATATTCAGCTTAGCAACAGGTTCAGTTACACCGATTTATTATGTTTGTTCGAATACGTGCAGCCTAAAACTTACGACGTCCGACTTGGGGTTTGTTGTAGGTCACATGTTGCGCGTTGCAGGTGACGCTACACTTACTAGAGTACCTCACTGGGGCCCTGCGGGCAACGTGCCCTTGAGGAACTACGTACAAGAGGTTCCCGCGTGGTTTACTAGCGGCCCCTTTGCACCGCAACACCCAAATAGGCGTTTCAGGATTGGTACGAGTCGTAGCAATGCGCACACCACCACACATACTATCAACGGTGTTAGAACCGATCTAGTAACACATCTCATGAATATACACAGAGACAAGTTTGAACATTTAGAAGACGAGCGTCATTTCGATGCAGGCACGCGACGAACCGACTTCAATGTGCCTGCATGCGAACGGATCGACGCGACATTGGTCATATGAGTTGGCCACGTCAGAGGCCCAGTCTGTTGGATTCGGTTTCCCCGACCTCCAGCTCCGAACCGCGATTTTGCTTCGTGCTCTCCAGATAGGGACTGTACGAGCATATCAAATGCTGCAGCCCGAACCAGGTTTAATGCGACTCGCTACTTGAGCGCGTGCGATCATTCGGCCACTTTGCCGAAGTATCTCCTGGGAACACCAGCGGGGCGTCTGGGCGAGGCGCGGCAGTCTTGCGAATTGCGCCGACTTCCAGACGGATTGCGCACTCACCAGCAGCAGCTGCATTGAAACAACCACTGGCCACAACACATGGTCAGGCATCCCTACAGAAGGCGCAGCCCTCCCCACAGGCAGGGCGGCCAGGAAGATGGCAGCTCAGACTGCGCCTGGACACTACGTCCTAACTCAGCATTGCCTACCGCTACCCTTTGAGGCCAAGAGGGCCAGGCCCAGCCCGCCTCGCCTTTCGACGCTGGCGCAGATACACGAAATCGTCGGATGGAGCGGGGTCAATAGATCAACCGGACATGCCGACGCGTCCCACCGATGAGCACTCGCATTCTGACGTGCGTCGCGCCAATAGGAGGCGGGGGACGTTCGCCAAGGGGCCTGCGTGACGCGCGCGCGGGTATCAGGCAACCGCCACTCGCCAGGGGGCGGAGCAAGGGCTCGCGCGGACATGAGAGGAGGTGACGCAGCATGGGCATCGCTTCATTCATGTCATCGCTATCGAATGACGAATGCGAGGTAATCTTCGCTGGAGGTAGAGACAAGAGCATAGGTCGTCGCGGCGCCCGCATGGGGGAAGGCACATCACTCATACCGATCCGCCAAGATGGCCGTCGCGCGCCGCGCAACGCGCGCGCCCCCCCAAGCCGCTTCGCTTCGCAGCGCAGCAAGGGGGGGAGAAAAGGGGCGCGAATATTATGCTGCACATGTTGGTTCAACCCTTTTAGAGTGCGACGGCTACGACCAACTCTTTGCTTCGGCCGAACCAGTTCACCTGACCTTGATCTTTTCTTGCAACGATGCTTCAGATGTGCTCGGGGCGCTCGCGCGCGGCATTCGCGATTCCGCTGCGGTCCGCGAGTGCGCCGCGAAGTTGGCAGCCAACCTGGCCATGGCTTCCTTGGAGGGGCCGGCCCCCTCGGACCCCTCGCGCAGCGCCCCTCTTCCAGAGAGGCCCTGGCCGCCGAAACCGCCGCCCTCGCGATGGGCAGGCCCGCCCACGAAGCCCGCGGCCCAGGGCCCAGGCGCAATCGCGGCCGCCGTGCTTCTCGTCTTCCTGGACCTCGCTGATGAGGTTGCTCTCCTGGACCTCGCCCGTCGGCGCGGCGGCCCCGCGGCCTGCGGGGCCGGCGGGGCACCCGGGCCCCGCGTCGCCGCGCTGGTCTGCCCCGCTGGTCAACCGCGCTGGCGCGGTCTGCCGCGCCGCGCGGCGCATTGCGCGCGTGCTGTTTGCATAGTGGTTCATGTTGTTTTCGCGCGCTTCGCTGCAGGTGCGCGCGCGGTGCGTTGCGTTGTGCGTTGTGCGCGCCGTGCGTAGTGAGTCTCGCGATGCACTGGGCGGGCAGGAAGAGGGCGCGCCTGGCGAGCGCGCCCAGCGCGCGCTGGGTGGGCGGGGCGCGCGGAGGCGCGCGGCATGCGCCCGCGCTTTCCCATTGTTTGTCCCCAGCGCCCTGGACAGACAGAGGCAAACATCAGGGGCTCACAGTGAGAGCGCGACCACCTAATTTCACGCGCGCGGGCACCAGCGGCAGCGCAAATCAAAAGGTCGCCCGCCAATCCGGGAACTCCGCGCGAAACGACTTGCCGGCAAATTCGCGCGGCGAGCCGTGGCCTGGAAACGCGTCGAGCGCGCAGCGTGCAAATGCCCCGCGAGGCCCAAACTGCCGATGACTGCGCGCGCGACCAACGCGACGAGCGGGGGCGGGAGGGCGGGGAAGTGGGAATACTGATAGAACGGATCAAATCCCGGATCAGCACCAGCCGATTCCAGCGAGCCCTGGCGCCCCATGACCATCGGCGCGCTTTCGGGGGGATCGCGGTAGGCGGCGCAATGCACCAAACACAATGCACAATGCGGAGGGGGCACAGGGCGACAAGCCCGGACGAAGGAGGCGAAGAAAGCAAGAGGGAATGGGGGGCAAGGCAGCCCGCTCCGCCAGACAAGCTCCGCAGGGACGTGGCGCTGCGCGCAGCGGCGGAGGGCCTCGACGCGGCGGCCGCCGACGCTCGCCAGCTGCGCGCAGCTGCGCGCAGCTGCGCGTTGCGCGCAGCTGCCTGCAGCGGCCCGACGCGGGCGCGGCGCGCGAGGCGGGGGCCTGCCCCCCGGGGCCCGCCCGCGCAGCCAGGGGCAGGCCGCGCGGGGGGGCCCTCTCAGGCCATGCCAACCCTTGGATTGCAGGGGAGAGCCAGCGGACGTGGGCGCGTTGCTCGAGGCGCTGGCAGGCGGCGCTGCTAGCGCCCCTGCGCAGCCGCAGCGGCGGAAGGGTGTCGCGCTGGCCTCCAGGGGGCCCCTGGATGGGCAGCGCGCGGAGGGGCCCCTCCTGGGCAACGGCTTCGGGGAGGTGGCGCGCGCGGGGGCTTGGCGAGGGGCGAGCGACGCGGCCGGCGGCGGCGCGGGGCCCGAGGGCGCGCTCAAGGACTCAAGGGGGGCGGCGCCGCGGGCGCCTTGGCGCAGCCGCCGCGGCGGTTGCGTTTCAAGCGTGGCAGAGTCGAGCGGCAGGAGAGCGGCGGCGGCGCGGAGTCCGAAGGCGCGCTTGAGGGGGGCGGCGGCGCCGCCGCAGCTGGAGCGGCCCATGCGCGACAGAGGCGCGCTGGGCCACGGCGAGCAGGAGCCAGCCGCGGGCCCTCTGGCGGGCGGCGCCGCGCGCGCCGAGGCGCCGCCGTTGCCGCGGGCCCGCGTGGCAGGGTCCAACCAGCGAGCTGACGGATCCAAGCGCGCGGAGGAGGTGCTGGGCACTGTGGGCCGCCTCTGGACTGGCGCAGCGGAGCACCTCGGCCTCTGCTCACTTGAGGCCTTCGGCTGCGTTGCCCGATTCATTTTCCGACGCGGCGCGGCGCCTCTTCGAGGAGCAGGTGGCCGCCGAAGATTTGGGCCTGCGCGCGGCGGATAGCTGCGGGAGGCCGCCCTCCGAGCGCAGCGCCGCGCTCGGCGGATCCGAGGGTGGGGAAGAGGATTGCCCCCTCGACGACGACCATTTTGACCCCTTCGGTTGCGCGGCCGACGACTGGGCGGAGTGTGCTCGCAGGCTTGGCAGCGGAATCCTCGAGGGCCGCAGGGCGGAGTTCCTCGGCCACTTCCTCGTCGAGTCATGTTGAATGGGCCGCCAGGCGGGCCAGCAGGGGCGGCGCGTCTATGCGAGCCCCCCGGGGGGCCTTCGCCGGTGACGCCGATGTTGTCGCGGATCCCAGCGAGGTGCGCGGCGGGCAGTGCGCGTCGGCGGACATTGACGCGGAGTCGGGCGGGCAGCGCGCGCGTCTCCTCGAACGGCTGCTTCGATGTCGACGACTTGCTCGCCAAGTGCCCTATGGCCACGGCGCGTTAGAGGAGGGTCGCGGTGGTGCGGCGCGCTGCTCGTCATGGCTGGCTTGCTTGCGCCTCTCCTGACGCTCGCGTTTGAATGTGTCCTGGGATCGCCGTTTCCATTTATCGAGAGTTCGCCCATGGCTGGCATCTGGAGCTCGGCTCGCTCCCGAAGGCAATTTTAGATACAATCGAGTTGAGGCGGCTCCGTTCGAGGCCTCACGCAGTGATTGAGGCGCCCTGTCTTTTGACTGCGCGGCGCATGCTGCGCGGAGGACGGGCGCGGCCTCCCGCGCGTGAGTGCGCCCTGCAGCTTGCCCCCGCCACGCTGCGCGGCGGCGCGGCCACCACGCTGGGAGGGTCGCTTATATCATAGATTTACACGTTTATTTCTGTATATATGTATTACGCGCCTTTCGGCGACGCCCCGCCTGTTTTGGAAGAGCTCGCGCTGCGTTCCCCATGTTCCTTTCTGCCGCGAAGGCCCCGCCGCTTCAGCGGCATGCCAGTGCAGCATGCCGCGCCGGCATAACAGACCACCTCCCTCACCACCGATGAGCACAAAGCCGAGCAGCTGGGCCGGCTCGGCCTGCAGGCAGAGGAGGATGCCAGTTCCGGGGTCGGCCGTCATGCTGGCGGGAGGTGGTCGGCCGTTGCGGCCAGCGCCTCCAGTGCCGCGCCCAGCGCAGGGCCCGCCAGCTCCTCGGCAAGCCGCCCCGCCTCGTGGCCCGAAGCGCCCGCTGCCCGCGGCCTGGGCGAGCCCGCCCTCGAGGAGCGGCCGGCGGCCGCGGCCGCTTCGGAAAAGACCGATCGCGAGGCCGAGGGCGGAGGCGAGACCGAGCGGAAGGCGAGGGAGGCGGCGAGGCACGAGTCGGCGGGCTCACGGGAGATCGCGCCGCGGTCGTCGCTGGCGCGGCGGCCGCGCTCGCGGGCCCCCTCCTCGCCGCCCTTCGCGGCCGCGCGCAGGTAGCTGGTGCAGTCGTGCCGCCTGCTGGACGCAGAGGGCGCCTCTCCTTTTCCTTCGACTGTTCGCGCGCATATTGCTGCACCTCTCTATGCAGTCGAGCGCGTGAGTTGTTGTGTGACTGGGCCATGCCTTTGTATGTGCTGGGCCGTACCTTGCAGCGCAGTTGAGTCCTCACTTGTGTTCCATTCGAGGTTGGGCGTGGGTGCTCGGAATGTCTTTCTGGCATGCCGTCTCTTGCACCAATGGTGCAAGAGATCGTAGTAGCGGTGTGTTCGGAACCCCTTCTCAGGTTCGCCGTCGCACTCTGTGAGTGAGGCCCCCTTCATCAGAATGAGCACCGCGCTTCTTGCATTTCTCAGCGCAGTTGTGCGCGTCAGGATACGGCCAGTGTGGCCCAGGGCTTATTGGGGTCGATGTTGATGCCTCTCGGCCGCCCCCCTCCGCTTGGGCCCGTCCCTTGGGATGGCCCTCGTTCCGGGGAGGCCCCTCGGAACTCGGGTCCTATGCGTGCCCCTTCTTGTTCGTTTATATTGCCCCGGTACTTCAGCACTTCAGCTTGACAGACAAGCGTGGCAGACCACGGCAGCAACCCGATTGAGCCCCACGGCGGACTAACACGACGGATACACCGCACGAGTCCAAATTACTTACTGAAGTGAAGGTCCCGTGAGGTTTCCCAAACATGGCAGCTTCGCCATACAGGCACGTTCTCGTAACACCGAGTTCCGAGCGACCAACGCAGCACCAAGATACTCCCCAGATCAGCCAGCGGACGCTTAAGAACGGCCCAAGAAAGCCCCGAGAGGCCTCAACTAACTCATTGGGATATCCAAAACAAATCCAGAGATGCCCAATCGAGAGGACGGCCGAGGAGGCGCTGGGACGGCCCAAGAGGGCCCCGAGAAGGTTCCCGAGACACGCCCGGGCAGCCCCAAAAGAGCCCGGAGAGGCCCCACAGGCTTCCGAGAAACGCCTCAAAGGCACCCCAGAGAGGCCCCACGGGGCCTCGAGACTTGCCTCGTACGCTCGCGGCAGGCTCCATCGCGGCCCCTACACGGGGCCCTCACGTCTTCCACGCCCTTCCCCACGAGCTCTTCGTCCCTCGTCTCTTCGTCGTCGTCGTCGTCGTCCATGTCGTCATCCTTATTGTCCCCCCCGTTATCTTGCACGCTGTGTTTCATTTCGTTTTCCGTTTAGTCGTCCTCCCCCGTTTTTCTTTTCTTTATTTGTCTTGTCCTACTCCTATTCTTCGTCGTCGTGTTTCGAAAGAGCCTCGACCGCCTCCTCGTCCTCCCCACTCCCCCCCATGCTCATTCACGTTGTCATCGTTCATTCCGCTGCCGTCCTTCTACCCCTCCCCTCTCCTCCGATGGTGTATTCCTCTCCCACTCTTAGTGATCGTTTTTTGTTTTCATCCTCGTCCTTGTGCTTGTGATGGCGCCGCACCCCCATATTCTAAATAGTTTGCCGTATTTTTCCATGCTGGATCCGTCATTCGAGTGCGCCGTGGGTTGCCATGTGGGGTTGTGCCCCCAGATTTCGGATACGTTCCTTGGTGGTGTGAGTTGCCTTGTGGTGCCGTGTCGATCAGATTACCCGTGTGGATGCAATACCATACCGAACCCGTTGTCAATTTGGTGTGTTCTAACTAATGTGTCGAACACATGGTGCAATTTGATGTTGCACTACGTGTGTAGGGTGCAACGTGGACCTGTTGCCTGTGTGATGTCGTGCCGTGCGGGGGCTACCGCGTCAAGCCCGTTGCCCGTGCGTGGCAAGTCCGTTGCCCACGCGGCGTTGTAGGATGTTGTGCCCAAAGCCGTTATCCGTAGTATGGTGTGTTGTGCTGCGTGGAGCCATGTGATGCTATGTCGAATCCTTTGCTAGTTTGTGTGTGTGCGCGTTTGCGTTGATGTCCGTGTGTGAGCATCCTTGCTGCGTGAGTTGGCCTGGCCCGTTCGACCAACTTCAGTTCTGTTGCGCAGCCGCGTGCGTGGCCGCGACGCCAGAATTGTGTGTGTGGGTGCGTGTGTTGTGCGTGTGTTGTGTGTGTGTTGCGTGGTGCCGTGTCGTGTCAATTCCGTTGCCCGCTTGGTGCCATGTCGATTACTTTGTTTGTACGGCGCCGTGAGATGCCGTGCAGGATTCGCTGCCCGTAGGCGTTCGTGTTCTCATTTCTTTCCGACCTGTTGCGAACCCTACGCTATTTTGTTTTACCTCGCGGTATCGGACACCCCGTCCAACATAGTGCAGCAGGCAATGAATATAGCACCCGTGGTCGAACATCTCCGCCTGAATCCGAATTTGTTTGGTTGTCACTTTCCCTCTCGAGCCGAGATGTATTATGTGTCTACTCCCCTGAACTCTTCGCGATAACTACTGCCCCTACTCCTGGTGAGCCTATCTGGGTCTTCGCTTAGCCGAGGTGAGTGAGACGCTGGGCGGCTACGACCAAGAGATGGAATTCTTAGACGAGCGCAGCGTGCGTGTCGAGGCCGAAGAGTAACCAAAAGGAACCCCTCCCGCACCCCACACACACACACACACACACACACACACACACACACACACACACACACACACACACACACACACACACACGCTCTGTTGCGTCGGCGGCTGGGCAAAGTAACTACGCTGGCGGAGAGCTAACTAAACGGGGTTACCGTCGTAGCGAATTGTACCACCATGCAGGGAGTGGGGGGAAAAAGCGGAAGCAACGGCCGAACGAGGGGGGAAGAGAGCGGGGCCGCACACACACACACACACACACACACACACACACACACACACACACACACACACACACGCGCGCGCGCGCGCGCGCGCGCGCGCGCACGCACGCACACACGCACACACGCACGCACGCACGCACGCACACACGCACACACGCACACACGCACACACGCACACACGCACACACGCACACACGCACACACGCACACACGCACACACGCACACACGCACACACACACACGCACACACGCACACACGCACACACGCACACACGCACACACGCACACACGCACACACGCACACACGCACACACGCACACACGCACACACGCACACACGCACACACGCACACACGCACACACGCACACACGCACACACGCACACACGCACACACGCACACACGCACACACGCACACACGCACACACGCACACACGCACACACGCACACACGCACACACGCACACACGCACACACGCACACACGCACACACGCACACACGCACACACGCACACACGCACACACGCACACACGCACACACGCACACACGCACACACGCACACACGCACACACGCACACACGCACACACGCACACACGCACACACGCACACACGCACACACGCACACACGCACACACGCACACACGCACACGCGCACTCGCACGCGCACGCGCACGCGCACGCGCACGCAACACACACACACACACACACACACGCAAACACGCACACGCACACGCGCACACACATACACACACACTCACAACGCACACACCTCTTGCCCCTGCACACTCCTTTCAATACAACGCGCTTCCGCCGGGCAGGTGGGGATGCACCCTGCGTTGAGTACCCATGAAGGTATTGGGGAGGTCCATCGTGGGAAAGTACTGGGTCGACGCTGGGTGCGAGCCCGTCCAACTGAGCATCCAGGTGCCCATGCCGGAGCAGCCGCCGAATATGCCCCCGCCCATGCCAGTTCCATACATAGCAAGAATCGACGAGAATTTGCACTTGTGCTGCCCGTTCATGAAGCTGGAACGGCCCACGGCCTTCGAAGGCCCTGGCTACTGCCTCATGAAAAGGGGCGCGCTGAGCAAAGCAGAGGAGAGCGAGGTGGCTAGCCTCAGCCACGGAGAAAAATTGCTGCAGTGCGCACGCGAGCTGGTTGCCGGGCTGCCCGATCGCAAGCTCGAGGAGGTCACCGTGAACGATGGGGAAGAGGAGGCCAGGGAGAAGGTCGTGGCCCAGGTGAAGATGGAGAGCGCCATGTATGCTGTCCAGAAGCGTTTCGGGGAGGAGACCATGAAGTTAGTCTTCACCGCGGCGCAGGGGTCCAGCGAGGACCCGGGGGCCCCCGAGCGCGCTCGCTCACACAGGCAGGGGGCCCGTCCTGTTCTCTTTCGACGGGTGCTGCCTCGTTGTCCAGCACGCGTCTGCTGTTTCTGAGCGCTCCTCCGGGCACTTGGCGCCGCTCCATGATCACAGATGTCCCAGCAGGGTGTGGTGGGGAAAGTGTTAAGTCGGGCCTGTCCCTATACAGAGGGAATAATCAAACATAGTCAACAAAAATAGTCAGGGGACGATTCGTTTTAGCATTTTTTGTTTTTTGGGGATACTTGTTTGATTGTGTTTTATTTTTCGTCCAAAACCCCCCTAGGAGGACAGGCCCGACTGAATGGACGTGGCACACCGCTTCCAAGCAGTTCTGTTTGCGCTCGAAGTTGATGTACAGTGGGGGCGCGCACCAAGAACCATATGCTTTTCGTCAGGATATCCTGGGTGTCTTCGCTCCTCGCGCTTGCGAGGTGACTTCCCGCAGCCGTTGGAGGAGCTGCTGCGTTCTCGGTGCTCCAGGTTTTCTCTCGGGTGCACTTCGCGCACGGGTTCTCAGGGTTGGGTTTCTTGCGAGGGTTTTTTCTTGCGGCCGCGCCCGCACTGTTTCTCACCTGACCCATTGAGGGGGACGGGCCGAGCCGAGAAGTGGCCCGGCTCGTAGGGGCCTGATGCCCAGCGTGGCGCCTCTTCTGGCGGCTCGTTCCCGTGTGCCGCCGTCCTAACGGAGGACGTGCCCGACGCGCTGAGGGGCGCGAAGGAGCTCGCGGAGCTGGGGAGGAAACTGCAGGTGTGCGGCATCCTCGACGACGCGGGGCCGGTGCTGGGGGAGTTATCCTTGCGTCATCCGCCAGCTTCCCCATTCCACCGCACTCGTCCGCTCTTTCATCCCCTTCCTCGCTCACCCCTTCCTGTCAATCTTCGTGCTTACCTCTCTCCTCCTCCTGCTCCTCCTGCTCCTCCTCCTGCTCCTCCTCCTCCTCCTCCTATTCCTCCTCCTCCTCCTTCCCCACTTGTCGCCGCAGGCCACGGCCGTGCCCCAATCCGCTCCAAGTCATTATGGGGACTCGCCTAGCCAGCTTTCGAGCCGCGTCCAGCAGTGAGCCGTCTCCCGCTCCTTTTGGGGCCCCCGTGCACTGTGCCCGTAGGGTTTCTCGGCGGGCTTCAGGGCACTGCCGGCCCGTTTTGGTCGTTGCCGGCAGGCGACGACGAGATTCACACCCAAAAATGCCATTCGTGCAACAAGTGTGGAACTCCATCTGAGTAGAACGCCGTGTGTGAGTGTAAGTGTGAATCCCCCCACACAAGCATGGACTACCCGGGATAACACAGCTGGTGCACGCTACCATTCACTACGTAATTAGCATGGCCAAACAACATTGGCGTGATCAGGCTCAGGTGTACCCGTGGTTGCCTTCCCACTGCGGAGGTGGAGGACACGTAAAAGTGTGGATCTCCATGTGCGTACGTGGATCCCCATGTGCTTGTGTGTGAGGGTAGGAAGTATGCGTGTTTAGGACCATTCATGTAGGATCCCGTTTGGATCCAGGTGGCCACGGGGAAGTGCGGCACACGGGGCCAGTGTGGGGGCGAAGGTAACCCATAGGAGCCCATAGCGGTCCAAGCGCCCATGATGGGCGAGGGCGACTCGGGGGGCCAGTAAGGCTGCAAATCGTAGCGGACCAAACAGGCAGGGCCACAGTGGTCCGAGCTCACCTTGGCGAGGGCGACGCGCAGAGCTTCTGCGCAAGGGCACGCGCTGCTTGGGGGAGCAAGAGTCAGGAGGGGAAACAACACACAGACACAATTAATCGTCGATCCCTAGGGTAGTATGCGAAACTATGGGAAGTGGGGGGGGAAGACAAAAACCCAGAAAATATACGAAAATATGTGGCATAATTTTATTCCCTACCTAGGCTCTGCCTAGAAGGGTTCTTACCCTGTTGGCTTAAAAGGGCCGGGCAGTGGAACACGCCCCGGGCGGTTCCCCCAGGATCCGCCCCGCGGTTCCCCCAGTGACGTTCCCTTAGCTTAGGGTTGCGTATCTCATCTTAGCTTAGCTTATTTCATCTTAGCTTAGCTTAGCTTCATCTTAGCTCAGATTTATCTTGGCTTAGCTTACCTTCATCTTAGCTTCGCTGAGCTTTAGCATAGCAGAGCACACCATAGCATAGCGTAGCATAGCATAGCGCAGCATACCATATCATATCATAGCCCAGCATAGCATAGCCTAGCGCAGCATAGCATAGCATAGCATAGCGCAGCACAGCACAGCACAGCATAGCACAGCGCAGCATAGCATAGCATAGCATAGCACAGCGCAGCATGCCATAGCTTAGCTTAGCATAGTATAGCATAGCATAGCATAGCATATCATAGCATAGCATAGCGCAGCATAACATATCATAGCATACTCCAGATTCCGTAATAAAAGGGAGGGGGTCTGGACCTTCCAAGACAAGCCATTTCAGACCTCCCCCGTGGGAGAACCCTCCAAAACATCGTCCCCAGACCCCCCAGGACCTCCAAGATAGCCTGGAAGAGACCCCCCGGGAAATGAGACCCCCCTCCCTTGATTACGAATCCTGGAGTGGCATAGCATAGCGCAACACAGCATGGCATAGCATGGCATAGCATAGCATAGCAATTCATGCTGCTTTCCTAGGGGCTCCAACTTCCAGGCAGGGTCGCACTAGGGTAGTTTGTGTGTATTTATGTGTGTGTATTTACGTGTGTGTCCCAGGGCTCCTTCGAAGAGACAAGACTCCAAAGCGCTCCGAAGAACAGCCCGACCGTCGGTCCCCAACCCTCCCCCCTCCCCTCCCCACCAGGGTTGAGTCGGGCCTGTCCCTCTACACCGTAGGCGATGCTTAAGAAAACTTCAGTTTTCGGCCAGATTCTCGATTATTCTTAACTTTTCGGTGTAAATCCCAAGAATTTGATAGAAGTTCTGGTTTTATTCAATTTCTGAGACTATGAATTTCTTAACCCATGATTTCTTAAGCATTTCGCAGGGTGTACAGGGGGAGGATCCCCAAATAGTCCACATACCGTCCGGGGCCGAGCTTTGTCCGCATGGGTTGGCCATTTGGGCGTATCTAGTGACTATTTGTGTTTGTCGGTCGACATCACCCTGTAGGAGGGCAGGCCCGACTTGGAACCAGGGGCCGAGCTGCCACGGGGGACGGACCGGCGGGCGAGGCGGGCGCTCCGGCCTCGGGCGGCCCGATGCCGAGGACGACCGCGCGATCCTCCCCGGGCCTGCCGAGCTCCCCCTCACCGGGCGCGTTCCACTGCCTCGCAAGGTGCCTCTGCTCGCAGACGCCCAGCGAAAGACTGTGCTTCTCTCTGTGTCACGCACCGTGCATCCCCCGCGGTGGATCCAGGCCGTCTGCGAGCAGCTGCCTTGCGAGCAGCGGCACGCGCTCGTCGCTTCCCCCGGGGCCGACCGCGGCGCAATAACCGGCCGCCCCGATGCCGAGCCGAGCCGCCGAGCGCCCAGACTCAGGAGGGGAAAAAACACACAGACAATATGGGGAAATATGGGAAGTGGCGGGGAAGACAAAAACCCTAAAAATATGTAAAAATATGGGGAATATGTTTGTTTGTGTGTATTTATTCGTGTGTCCTGGGGCCCCTTCACAGACGGCCGGCGCGCGGCGAGCGAAGTCCCGGCCAGGCGCAGCCGGCGCCCCCGCCGCCGCCAGGCCCGGCCAGGGCCGCCGAGCGGCCTGCGCCGCCGGCGCCGGGCCCGCGGCCAGCGGCCGCGGACGCGCCGCCCGCCCAGGTCCTGGGAGACGTCCGACTCGAGGGAGCTCAAGTCGGGCACGCCCCTCTGCAGGAGGAGCAGTCCCAAGCATAGTCAGAAGATAGTCAGGGGACGGCTGGTGGACTATTTTCTGGATCTGTATGGGGGTGCTTGTTTGGGGGATTTTAAAGTTTTCACCCCAAATCCGCCTGTAAGGGGGCATGCCCGACCTAAGAGTAAGCCAGAACTCGGGTTTGCCGACGTTTTTTGACGAGCGCGTCCTGGATTTTGACGGTCCAGTTCTCGTGGGGTTTTTGCGGCGGGGGCTCGCGTGAAATTTCCGATTGGGTCTCGTCATTTTTATGATGGCCACGTTAGGCCAACTTTCGGCGGCGAGCGAGGGGGGGAAGTGAGAAGGGGCGGGCCTTCTCAGAAGGCTTGGAAGTCCCCCGGCCTTTGCGAAGTTTCCTAAGCCCTCCCCGAAGACAAGAAAACTTCTCAGGAAGGCGCGAGGGCTTCTGAGAAGTCCCGCAGCCTTCTGAGAAGGCCTTCTCCTTCTCACTTCTCCCCCTCGCTCGCCGCCAAAACCCTTCAGTCGGGCCCGTCCCTCTACAGGAGGAATAATCAAAAATAGTCCAAAAATAGTTTGGGAAATATTTTTAGAGTTTTTGTTTGGACCATTTTGGAGTATTTTTTGAGTACTTATCAGTTTTCGTCGAAAATCCCCCTGTCGGGGGACACGCCCGACCTAACCGTACCCGAGTCTAACGTTTCCCCAGCCAGGGGGCGCCGGACCTGCCGGCCGCTGGCGACTCCGGCGCGAAGGCGGCCGGCCGGGCGGCGAAGGTCACCGGGCGCGTGCCTTTGCTCGCAGAGTGTCTGCTCGCAGACGTCCGACAAAAGCCACGCGCCTGCATCGATGTACTTCAAGCAGTGGCGAAGCGTCCTGGCTCGCCTAATCATAGCCCTACCGAACAATTCTCTAAGAGCCTTTTGTGGTTTCCACGAAGTGTTCGTAGAACATGTCAGATTGAGGCTGTCTTGGTTTAACACGTCGGGTTTCTGGTCTAAGAACAGTGCGTTTGCTCTTAGAACATATTTGGGTTCTAAGAACATGTCGTGGCAGGACTGTAGGAATGCCGGGACGGTCGGCCCCTGCTCAAGCACTGCATCGCAGCTTCCCCTCGACGGACCCGGGGCATTTGCGAGTGGCTACTCTGCGAGTAGTGGAGCGCGCTCGTCTGGAAGAGTCCTTTGGACCTCTGGCTCTTCGGGAGACCTGAAGTGGCGGTCTTCTCTCGACGCGGATTCGGCGCGGGCTTGAGGATTCCACGCGGACTCGACGCGGATAGAAGCGCCGTAGGAAAGGCAAGGTTCCGCGGTAGCGGAGCGCCAACAGTTTATGTTTATGGCGTTTGTTTTATCTTCTAGGAGTGCCGTGGGGAAGGAGGGTAGAGGTTTTTCAGCAGCACTTTTGCTTTTGTCCCCCGAGACCTCCAAGGGCGTCAGACGGGTGTCCAAGGGGGTCCTGCCAGGCAGACCTATAGGATCACTAGTATAAACCGTTCATGAGGGCTTTGGAAAACGGTTCTGACTCCCGACCTCCGCTCCAGCAAAATCGCAGGAGACTTAGTTTGAATTGATCACGCCCACTTTTCTGCGCTGGTGCCCTCCCGAGGAAGCTTCTCGTTTTCTGATGACGCGCCATACCCACCCCCACTGCTGCGCATCATCGAAGAATGCAATTGGGTGCAGCTGCCCACTTGGATTAAACGTCCCACACACACCCGCCTGGGCAACAATTTGGGGGCATCGTCGGGCGCGGCCAAAGAATAATCAACTCCCCCCCTGCTACGCCAGCAACCTGGCGAACACGAACATGCAACGCGATGCAGAGCAATACAACGCAATGCAAAGCAGTGCAACGCAATGCAAAGCACTGCAACGCATTGCAAGCAACTGCAACGCAGTGCAAACGAATGCAAATAAAGCAGTGCGAAGGCATGCGAACCAATGCAAAGTAAAGACAAGCAACGCGAAGTAAGGCAGAGCAATACACTGACATCAAAGCAATGCTAAGCGATACAAAGCAAAACAATGCAACGCGATGTAATGCGACGCAAACCAATGCACAGCTTTGCAAAGCAATGGAAGCCGAAAGCAACGCAACGCAATGCGATGCGCTTGCAGTGCGACTGCAATTCAATGCAATGCGATTTGATGCGATGCGATTGCAGAGCGAGGGAATGCAGTGCGATTGCAATGCAGGGCGATTGCAGTGCAGTGCAGTGCAGCGCGGCGACAGGCAGCGACCGGCTGGCTGGACCGCCACCGGGGCCCAGCGGCGACGGGCGGCCACGGGCGGCCACGGGCTGGCCTGGGCGGCACTTGCACCCAGTCACCCTGGAAGAGAGGTGCGACCCCCTGAGTGCGAGCACTGTGTGGGGAACAGGGCGATCGAGGGGCGCCCGAACATGGTCCAGATTGTGCAGCACAGTGTAATTGCTATCCAGCTGCCTGCTGCAAGGCCCGCCACCGTGCCAGCCCAACATCGGCGGCGACGGTTCGAGGAGGCACGGGAGGCCGTCGCGTGTGACGCTTCGTGTCTCCAAGGCTTGTGAGAGCCGTGCTGGATGATGGTGCTGGTGGTGATGATGACGACAATGATGATGATGATGATGATGATGATGATGATGATGATGATGATGATGATGATGATGACGATGATGATGATGATGATGATGATAATGGTGATGATAATGGTGATGATGGTGATGATGATGGTGATGATGATGGTGATGATGATGGTGATGATGATGGTGATGGTGATGATGATGATGCTGATGATGAGCATGACGAAGACGGCCCGACGACGATGAGGATGATGACGCTGCTGATGATGATGCTGATGATGATGATGATGATGAGGTGATGGTGATGGTGACGGTGACGGCGATGGTGATGGTAGTTGTGATGGCGGTGGTGGTGGTGTGTGCGGTGGTGATGATGATGATGATGACGGTGACGATGATACTGTTTATGATGATGATGTTGATGCTGATGATGATGAACATGATGGTAGTGATGATGATGATGATGGTGCTATGGTGATGATGGTGACGATGATGATGATGGTGATGATGCTGGTGATGATGTTGATGATGATGCTGATGATGATGATGATTATGCTGATGATGATGCCGAGGAGGAGCATGAAGAGATGCAGGAGGAGGAGGAAGACGAGGACGGCCGTCACATGTGACACCTTTCGTCTTCACTAGTTGCGGTGATCTCATGGGATTCGTCTTGGCCGTCTTGGGGCTGCCTAGGCTTTGCATCCTGCGATGCAGTCTTGGGGGCCCCTTGAGGCCTTCTTGGGCCGTCTTGGGGCTCTCTTCGTCTTGGGGCCCTCTTGGCCGCACGGTGGGTGTATGGTGGCCGTCGTGGGGTCCTCTTGGCGCCGTTTTCGGCCTTCGAATGGCCTTGAAGGCCGTCTTGGGTCCCACGAGAGGCCCGCTTGGGCCGTTTTGGATGCGTCGTAGGTTATTGTGGGGTCATATTGGACTATTTGGGGACCCTCTTGGGAGCCGTTTGGGCCGTCGTGGGGCCACAGCAGGTGTTTTTTAGGCCGTCGCGAGCTGACGGGAACCTCAAAATAGCGAGCTCGAAACCCTTTTGAAAAAGCCATACAGGCATGATTGGCGTTGACCTCTTCGGACCATTCTGGAGGTCTCTCTTGGGGCCCTTTTTCGGCCCTCTTGGAGGCATCTTGGGCAGTCTTGAAATCATTTTCGGGAGTCAGGGGTGCATCTTAGGCCGTCTTTGTTGAATCCCGGGCCATTTGGGTATTCTTAGCGGCCGTCTTGGAAGCTCGAAGTGTCATGGTCTTGGGGGCGCGGCTCCACAATTGTTTGACGAAGGATCATGGCCTCTGGCGGGGGAGCGATGCAAGGAGATGCCAGTCAAGGGGGGTCGTTTTTTAATACGGAAGCCCTGCCGACAGCGACAGCCTTTGACATTCTTCCCCGCCTCAGCGTGCGCAATGCACGGTGGCGGGTTGTTTTTTTTCGCCAGGGGTGGCAGTGGGCGTTGGCACTGCTTTGGGCTAGGGGACGGTAGAGTTGGGGAGGGGGTGCTAAAGCGCCTCGTGGCGTGGACTGCTTGCACGAAGGTGTTTTCTTTACTTACGGGGTCCAGGGTGCACCCCGGAATTCGCTAGCGGACCGCGACGACGACGACGGCAAGCGCGCTCAGACTCGAGTAGGCGCGCGATGGACGTTGTTTACGGGCCTGGAGGGAATTTACTCATCAAATGGGAGGGGCCAGGGAGGAGTGGCGGCGGCGCTGCTCCTCCAGACTCGCGTGTCGGACGACGGGAAGCGCGCTTAGATTCGAAGAGTCGCGCGACGGACGTTGTTTACCGGTCCAGAGGGGAGGGGGGATCTTTATCTAGTGGGCTCGTGCTGAACGACGCCAGGCAGTTGCTGCGTTAGCGGGGGAGGCCACCACTTGCTGTTCGACGCAACGACCCGAGGAAGTGCTACAAACACATCGGCCGCGCTGCCCCAAAACCTACCCTGGCCACGGCGACGGCGGCTCGCGCCGACGGCGCACCATGCATGGGCGCCGCTGCCGAAGTCCACGCGCGCAAGCAGGCCCTGCTCAACATCTTCCGATGCGATGAGAACCCGCCGGCCTCCAGACCTACGCCCACGGCACCGCCGCCAGCCACCCAAGGCGCACAACCACTCCATCATCCACTGAGCTGTACTACCGCCGACGCCCAGAGCATCATCGACCTCGTGCCGAACCGCGAGGCAGCCCCGCCTATCGACGACGCAGGCGGTGGGCACCCTCGGCCACGCGGCCCGGCGCGGCGGGGCTCATCGACCACCGCGCCCGTTCGGCACCCAGCCGGAGGGATTGCCCGCAGCGCGAGCAGACCTGTCCAGTTCAAAGACGGGGTCACTGCGCAGCTACGCGAAAGCCCGAAGGGGATGGGACCAACGCCCGCGACCACTTCCGCGCGCTCAGCATCCTCGACCACTTCGGCAAGGGCATCTCCAAATTCCTGGCCCAACCGTTCGTCGGCACAGCTGTGGAACATATCGAACCCGCGCAGTTTGGAGCTACAGCGAAGAGGTTTACTCGAGACGCCATTGCAATGACTGACGACAGATGTAGGCGTTTCCGCGCGGGGGCCAGGCATTACAAGACGTGCAGAATCCATGTTGGTGCGTTGGTGGACCTGGAGCAAGCTTTCGACCTCCTTATTCGGTCTGCCATCTGGGACGCGGTCCATCGCGTAGTCGAGTCTTCGGGATGCATCATGATGCGTTCTGAACTCCACAGCGGCACTTGCCACCTGTTCAAGGGCCCGAAGTCTGGCAAGATCGCTGCAAAACTTGCCGCCCAACTCGGAGTTCGGCGCGGAGGGCCCGCCGCTGTTCATCATCGTCTACAACGTTGAATTGGCGGCGCTGAAGCTTGCGAAGCAGGGCAGGGCCATCGTGCCTACACACTGCCGCGCTCGACCTCAATGACGTAGCTACTTCCCTAGATGCATCGCGAGTTTGCCCTGTGGATGACCTGATTGTCCTGGCCGTTTTCGAGGGCTGGGCGTGACCGAGTCGATCGCGCGCATTGCTTCCGTGCTGGGCTCCATGGACCACCGCGCGAGTACGCCGAAAACGGAGGTGATTGCCGCGGCTACTGGTCGCGGATCGAGACGCATCAACAGAGATATCGTCGCGCGGGCGACTGGCGTGACATGCGGCGGCCGACCTTCTCACCCTCAGGACGCCGCGCAGTGCCCGGATCTCCAG